CTGTCCCACACCTGAAACTGATTTGATATTAATAACTGATGTTCATCTATGACCCTGGAGATGCCAGCCTCCAGCAGGAATCGGCAGGCTGTTTATTTCCATCTTGCTGCCTTTGTGCTCCTGGGCTGATGAGGATGGTCATGTGATGGTGATGCAGTGCATTGTGGGACGTCTGACTGAAGCAGAGAAGCCATGTCAGTGGGAGGTTGAGTTGTCATGGGGTTGATACGATAGGAAAATATTAATGAGATATGATGTAGGTTAATGACCATAGCAGCAATATTAACATTTGAGATTAATATCAACCCAAGTTTTCAAACTGATGCATCCATATCACATTCTGTATGTGAGCATTTAGTGTGTGATACACCCATATTTATATATTATATAAACATGTTGTTACTGGGATTATCTGGAGAGAAGGCCTCTCTCCAGATAATTAGCAAACTTAATTGTTTGATGAAAAGAAACTGTCCTTGAACTTAAACCAAACATAAATAATGTAACTTTCAATCAAATACAGAAACTTAAATACAAAAAGTTGGTGTGAATATTGAAATAGATCATAAAAACTCATTTCTAAGAATCATTTCTAATAATAAACTCGACTGGAAACATCAGATATGTTCAAAGAAACGTCTCAAAACATCACTGACCCAGTCGGCGAAAAAACACTTCTCTTCTGAAGAGGAGGATGAGTCTGCATGGCATCAGACAGAAACTCCACATCCAGGAACAGAACCAAAGGGTCGCAGATAAAGACAGAATGTGAAGCTCAACATTGTGGGACCCCAGACTGAAAAAGCAGAGAGAAAAAGCCACAGAGTTTGACACATTAAGTTTGTTCTACCAAATGAGATTTGAACCTGAAGCTGCGTCATTCCTGCAGTTAAAACTTGACAATGCCACTGTGTCACAGACAACAATTAAATCTAAAACCACAAAACCTCTGTCAGCTGAGACAGTTGCTAAAACCACAATGTTAAAAACTTCTAAAATATAATGTAAAAAGAAATGTAACTAATTACTTGTAAGCAAATTTATCAAGAATTTGGTTTAAAAAATGCAATTTGAAAACAGATCTACGATTTGCAAATATGTCGGAATCAAGAAACAGTTGCTTAATTTGAGGCAACCAAGAGGACAAAATACTCTGGGTATTTAAATATTATATCTGGAAAGTCAAGAAAAGACTCACTTGTTGGTTTTGCTAAAGGCAATAAGTGAGGATTGTGCTTTTGTGTGGACAGAGGGTCTGCAAATACCTCTGCATTGTTTAAGAGCCTTTAAAAATGACTAATGAATTTTTCTTGACTCATGAGGCAAAGAAAAACTCCAGGCACTATTTTAAAAAATGTGCAGAATAACACGGTCCAGCTTTTCTTCTTTTCTGATTATTAGAGCTTATTTAACCTTTTGCTGTTTCCTAGTGTTTGCTTTAAACATTTCATCTTTGAGAAGGAGCTCTTATGATTAGATATCACACCATCCACACCACATATTTATGCCTAAATCTTAATCCTCATTCAACATAAATAATCATAAACATGAACATGAACCTCCAGTCCCAGACAAAGCAGCACAGACTGGTGCAGAAACATCCACATCACATTTACAGATAACGGTTCTCTCTGTGCTTTTCCAGAATCCCAAGGCCTGAGAAACGACCTGGTGACCATTTCCAGACTGAAATATCAAAGATTTATTTCTTCTCTCTTCCTAAATGTATTTACATCAAGGTATGATAAATAAAACTAGATTTCAACAAAATGTATAGATAGGATTGGAATTAATTCATCATTTAAAACAGCATTTTGTATTTACTGGTATCAACTTTGCATGACACTAAATTTGTCCACAATCTGACAAAACTGAGAAAAAGCAAATTCAGAAGGAATCGTTAGCTCCAACATGTCTCCAGAGATATTAGTAAGGTTTTAAATATTGAACTCATCCAAGAGTAAAATAACTGGGATTTCATAGAGCAGATAAAGACATTAATGGTTTATGATTCCTGTATAAACCAGAGAGCAGATGGAGACGCTGACAGAATCACGGTCCACATCAAGACCAAGAATCTTTGTTAACAGAAAATCCCACCTGGCTGCTGCAGCCAGTATCTAAAACCCAACCGGGTTTTTCCATCCCAACATATTCAGTCTGGTGTGACCTGCTAGCTGGGCTGGGGGCTATGAAGCGATGATCAGTGATTTATCACCAGGAATGAGGAGAAATGGCTTCAGGTGTGAAACACCCATCAAACCTGAACTTCTGGTCAGAAAAACTCCACAGGCTGAATTGTTGAAGGAGTAAAGACATTTTGTTCCTCTGTCAGATCATCAGTGAAGCTTTATAAAGCCTCCATTCCCTGGTTGAAGGCACACTGCTTCCAGTGAGTCCTGCTGCGGCTTTGACTCTTCATCACAACAAGGTAAGATTTGACTGGAAACTGGAAAATGTCAACCTATAGCTTCATTTTTTCATTTAGTCAGATTTAAACTTACAAAAAGGAATGGTATCTTACTAAAAGCTTTTATGTTCATATTTATTCATTAAAATGTGCCATTTAGTTCAGCAGATTGTTGAAAATATTTCAGAAAATCATTGAGTTTTTCTCAGTCATATCTCACAGTAACTGAATGTTTCCTATTTTCATACAGATGAAATTCGTCCTTTTTACTTTGTTCCTTTGTGGATCCATCCTGGAAATCAATGTGAGTGAAATCCTTCTCTTCTCTTTGTGGTCTGAATGTCTGTTGTTAAAAACATTATTTTACTGGGTTTATTCAGCAGTTATAGTTTCCTTGTCATTCAGTTGGTAACCAGATTTTAATCTGATGCTTTCAGCTCCAAGAAGCTTGAAGTAAAAATCCTCTGTCATTTCCATTTGTGATTAATTTTGTTTTTTGTTTTTTTTTAACAGGCAGGACGTGATTTTCTAAATCTGAGAAGTTAGTGTTACAGGTTTTAGCATGAAGACAATATTATTGAATCTACAATAATGAAATATAAATTTTGCTTTAGATCATGGATAGCTGAACTTTTCAGTGTCTTAATATTAATATGATCTGAATCTCCCATTTAACAGAACCTCGGTCATTCTCAGGATTAATATCTCTTGTGACATGTGAGGGATCAGTCAGTCACATCCGGTGTGGTAAGGTCACTGGTTTTACTGGTGGTTCTGGACCATTACACCACATGTTCAGATTTCCAACATTTCTTCTTCTGTTTCCAACAGAATCTGGGTATATATCTGTGATCAGTGCTATATATGGACGCACCGATCATACGACGTGCTCCGATGGGATACCTGATGACCAGACAAGGAAAACTGATTGTGCTACAAGAGCAGATTTAGTGTTTGAGAGGGACAGAGCGTCAGTCTTTCCTAAAGGCTTTTCACACCGGACATGAATTAATAAATCCACATCACTATTTCTTGGAAACTGACTTGGATCTGAATCCACAGATGCGACGGGGAATCGGAGTGCCCTTTCGTCGCCAGTAGCTCTGTGTTGGGAGATCCCTGTGTCGGGACCTTCAAGTACCTGGAGGTGAAATATGTCTGTGAAAGTGAGTTTATAGTCTAAGTTCCCTAAAATCTTTCTAAAATTCAACAACAACATTGAAATGCATTATTGTCACATTTGTTTTCAGGTGATTTTCATTTCCTTTATCATAATAAAACTTAATCANTAGCAGCTTAATTTACCAGGTTTGTAACATGATTANAAAACCCAGCTGTTCAACTGGCAAATTAATTAACTGAAGTAATTTACTGTTTTTTTATGTCAGATTCCGTTTTTTTATTCACTCATTTTTTTGTTTATTATTTATTTATCAGTTTTTTTCTTCCTCTAGTTATTCTTTGTTAAAGTTAGCATCACATAATAAAATATCAGGACTTGGAGTTTGGTTGCCATGGCGATCCTGTGGAGCAGGTTTTGTCCAAACTCTGTAGTCTGGTTAAAACTTTTCCCTCATCAGCTTTAATGTTCCAGTCCAGCTCAGTAACACAGTCAGTAGCACTAATGCCTTGCAGCAACAAGGTCCTGGGTTTGAATCCTAGCCTGGGTCTTTCTGCATTTATTTAGAAAGAATAAATTTCATTTCTGCACTGAAGTCAGAAAACCAGCGTTGACTCTCCAGAGCAGGGGCGCTGCCAGGAATCTTGGGCCCCGTGACAAAAGATTAAATTGGGCCCCCCATGCGCATCTGCTGTTATTTCTTGAGTTTATTTGACCCATTAAAATTGTCACAATTTTAAAGGCTTAAAGCTGCCTTGCTTTCTTTGATCCATTATTGATACTAGTACAATATTAACTGCTCATGAATTTTACATGCAACAGTCCACACTCAGTTTGCAAATAGGTTGCTTACATTTTTTTTATTCCACTTAGATTACTGAAACGTCTCTCCCCACGAGCAACAATCATAGGCAATGTGCAAAATATACATGAAGCAATCCAGACTTCTCAAAAATGCTATGTAGTTGCATTTTATTCAAGCTTCAGTACATAACTTTAAATAATTTCTATGAAAGAAAAAATAATTTTGTAAAGGGCCCCTTGTTGGTCAGGAGCGCCCCGGCTCAGTATAGGGGCCCCTGCTCAGTATAGTGGCCCCTGCTCAGTATAGGGGCCCCTGCTCAGTATAGTGGCCCCTGCTCAGTATAGGGGCCCCTGCTCAGTATAGGGGCCCCTGCTCAGTATAGGGGCCCCTGCTCAGTATAGGGGCGCTGCATAGCGCCGCTATACTGTCACAACAAGGTTGCAGGTTCAGAACTGGTGATATTTTTACTTTCTGATGTCTAAAATGCATTCTGCTGAAATGATATTGTTAATATTTTCCAGAGTCATTATAAAATAATCGGCCCTGAAGCCACCATCAGATCTGCTGTGTGAGGATGAAATGCATCATAATCATCTACAGACGTTGTGATCCACTGATGTGCAGCTTCATCTCTCTTCAATGTCCTCAGTTTTTTTTTAGCATTTTATTTGTTTTTCTTCTCCAATCTTCATCCTTTTTGCTTTTATTTCAACTTTCCTCAATAAACCTGATTTGCATTTACCTTTTGCTCAGTTTGCTTTTGTTTGCCACAAACAGCCTGATGGGGACGAAAACTTTGACAAACTCCTTCCAAACTATTAAGGCAGTTAAAAACTGTTTCCAGTCTGAACAGGAAGGAACTGGTGGAGGATGTTGGTTGAATGTCTGTGGGAACGCTGCCTGCTGTCATCTGGATCAGTTCAAGATGGCCGCCAACTAGGGTTGCCAGCCATCCCATAAAATACAGACTCGTCTCGTATTTGGTTGTTAAATGTTGCGTCCCGTATTGAACTGATAAGGGACGCAATTTGTTCTGTATTTCTATAAATGTCCGATAGACACTCCTACACACACATATCAAGACTAATTGTAACAATAATGACCAAAATAAAACACAGGATATATTAAGGTCAGCTAAATTGTCTTGGTGTGAGCCAATGGACCCCCAGAACGCTACGGATTGACGCTCTTGTGGTTGCCTAGAGACGGACACTATGCAGCCGCGGTGAGCTGCTATCAACCGCGTCTTTTTCAGACATCCTCAACCTGATTCTCCATCATCATAAGAACCAAAACCTCTCGTAAAGATACGGATGTGAGAGGGAAGACTCAAATCCCAGGCTGAACATGTTAGTGAAGATGAATACAGGCAATTAAAACAAATGTGTTCGTCCCGGCGCGGTGTGCTGCATGATGCCAGACAGAATGGATCAGGAGAGGAACCAAAGACCCGGTTAGAACCTAAAGAACCAGACATCAGCATCTCTTCATCCCTCAATCAAATCCTGAGGCTGATATGATACAGAACATTTTGCTATGATTGATTAAGTTTCTTATTGTGGACTGTTATGGTTTGATTATTAGATAATCAATTATTTGCTTATTTAATGTATAGTCTTATCACCCAAAATAATACAAATGGCCATTTAAAGAACAAATCACATTAAGAGATTAACAGTAAATACATAAATATTTCCTACTTTAAAAGATTTATTAAGACTTTCTGTTTTTATTAAGAAATGTTGACATATTAATTCAGTGGTCGTTTCATGTATTATTAATGTCAGACGCAGACCTGCAACCCTGGGGCGGTTCTAGATGGGGGCCACCAGGGCTACAGAAGAAATTATGCTAAATAAATGTATTTTGTTAATATTCAGAGGTGGATTTTTTTTATCCTTCACAATTTTATTTTAACAATGGATTAAAAATTATACAGATGCACTTTTAGCTGCTGTATTGAGAGAGGATCATACTTTCCATCTGCTAGATCAGGATCTGCAACCTGGATCTCTGGAGACACAAGAGGCTCTTTGGCTCACTTATTATGTCAAATGATGAAATATCGCTCTGTTTTTTTGTTTCATTCTTTTTTAAGTGTTGCCGTGGAAAAACACTGACTATCCTGGCCTTCGTGGTAAATTTAGTCTAGAATCAATCAATCAAATTTTATTTGTATAGCACATTTCATTAGAACCAGCCTCAAACCCAACTCCTCACTTGTATAAATATTTTAGCAAAACTCTTTACAATACCAACGTTTTCACATAACTTTTATACTTTTGGAGCCCTGCCTCAGGACACATTTTGATTATTAAATTAGTTCAATCTGGAAAGACTCAGACGGACAAAAAGGGGAACGATTAAAAGATTTAATGACAGCAATGAATAACAGTTCTTTGGCGCTCGGGCCCCAGCAGCTGATCTGAGCTGAGATTTGATGTGAACTCCATGAACATCCCAATAACTGATTAGGGATGCTCTCCCCAGGGGCCCGACACTGGTGGTGGAGGTCTGGAAAGAGTGCCATCCTGGAGAGCCGAAGGATGTGGGTGGAGAAGGGAGGTGGTGGGTTGAACGCAGCTGGGAAGCAGCTGACGGCTTCGGTGTGGATCCTTTATGCAGAGCCTGATTGCTGATTGAACGCGCCAGGTGAGGTCCAGCGCTGAGGTCGGAGATGAGCATGACGTCGATGGGCGAATGGAGGGGGCGGAGTCTGAACTTCCGCTTTAGCTCCATGTGTTTTGATCAGTTACTCAGTACTTGAGCATTTTACCAAATACATTTTACACTTGCTTAATTAAACATGTTTAAGGTGTGCTACTCTGATTGGAGTACACTTTGGGAGGGCTCTATGCATGAATGATTGCTCTCTGGGTCACTTTTTTTAAGGTTTTGTTGGCTATGGTTGCCTTTATTTGGAAATGGTTTGACAGGAAAGTGGATAATGAGAGAGGGGGAAGACATGCGGCCTGCGACCACCGCCACGATGACTAAGGCCTCAATATGTGGGTTGTGCTTTGCGCCATCACAGCAGCTCCTCTGGATCACTTTTTAAAAACAAAAACACTGCCATAAATATTGTCTATTGTTGCAGCGGCCATCCCACCCAATGACAGTAGGGTGACACGCAGTGGTGGGCGGAGGTCCACCACTGCGCGCTAACTGAATATTTTCCACATTTGACCTATTATATTTTTAAACGACGGAAAAATTTAAAGCCCGTCGGTCATTTGACAGGTTATAATTAACACCCTTGACTGGTGCACATGCGCACATATTACAGACTTTACGCAGAGTTCATCGCAGAGGCAACTAAAATCAATCAATAACAAAATCCTTTCTGCATATCATCTCATGGACACTGAACTAAATGGGTCTTTTTGACCGGGAGCTGACAGAGTGTTGAAGAGTTATGGACCGGACGCCTTGGAGAGTCTGGTTCAGAAGTGCATTACAAACCTTTGGTAGAAACGGCGCGTTAAATTTCAGTCTCCATTACAGAACAGAGAAAACTAAAGAGAACTCAATGTTGTGTTAATCCATTTATAGTCTAAACAGAAGGGCCAGCAGTTTATTTTGAGAAAGTGCAGACATTAATTAGACCGTAACATGCGCATCCCGCTGCACATGTTAAAAATCCTTCATCTGACCTCCAAACTTTAACAAATTCCGAAAACATCACACTCTCATTCAAATGAGCTGTGATTTTTAGAATGCTTCTTTGAATTGTTCTCAATATTTCATACACTCCATGTATGGCCATATCTTCATCTGTCTCACTCTGGGTTTTTCACAAGTTTGTACTTAACACAAATATCTGTATCTTTCTCAATCCTTTGACAATCCTGACTAAATTGCTCCCAATAGTGGGACATGTCAGCCTTAGTCATCCTGCAAAGCTTGGCAAGAGTCAAATTCACATTTATCTTGTCCAGCAACATGTCTGAACATGAACATATTTCAGCCTTATCTAACTTTATCTAAGGGGAATTCCAAGTTTAACTGAACCACATAAACTATAATATTTATTTGACCGTAGTATAATTTGAATTTGGGGAATTTTTCTCATTTCATTTCCACACTTTTCTGCATTAAAACCTCTTCAAATTCCAAAGTGACCTGATCCTTGAAGGAAGTAATGCAGGACAGTTTAGCTGACTGAGACGGTCAATAAAGTACTGATGTACATTTCAACAGTACATTGCACCCAGTACACTGTCCTGGTGGAGAAAACAGGAGACGTTCAAGAACAGCTGATCCAAACAGAGAGTTCTCTACATCATCACAACGGCTGATAACCATGGAACCAACTGGACAACAACAACTGCACACTGCTGCACAATAGATAACCAGCATCTAGCTGGATATCTGACCTCTGACCTGTGAAGAGACCAAACTAGCTCTACGCTTGTCATTTCCCAGAATGCATCTGGCCACTCCCAGTAATCTGCTCCTAAGTTTGGCTGCACTTTATTCTGAGTGTTGCTGGTGAAACTGAATCAAAAACATGGATACTAAAAATAAATTCATACTGTTGAATTTAAACCATTTTAAAGCACATTTTTACAGTTACTTGAATCATCTAAGCACAGCTCTGAAATATTTCCATAATCTGATAAAACCTGACACATCCCTGCCTCACCATCACCAGCCTGGACTTCTGGTCTGAAAACCTCAACAGGATGAATTGTTGCCTGGATAAACACATTTTGTTCCTCTGTCAGATCATCAGTGAAGGGATATAAACCCTCCATCCCCTGGTTGAAGGCACACTGCTTCCAGCCAATCTGGTTTCTGCTGCTGCTTTGATTCTTCATCACAACAAGGTAAGAATTGGCTCAACAAACCCAAAAGGAAAAGCTGCTTACAATTCTGTTCTTCTACTATATTTTATGATAAAATCTGGTTCTGATTCTCTGAAACATGAAAACTTGTTTCCATCATGTTCACATTGATGGATGAAATGTATCATTTGGTCCAGCAGCTCTTTGAAAATCTAGAAAATCATCTAATATTTTCCGTCATATCTCAGAGTAACTGAATGTTTCTTATCTTCATACAGATGAAATTTGTTCTTTTCACTTTGTTCCTTTGTGGATTCGTCCTTAAAGTAAATGTGAGTGAAATCCTTCTCCTCTGTTTGCTGTTTAGACAATCAGTTGTTAAAAATCTACTCTTAGTGTTTTTATCTCTGTACTTTGTGAAACAGGCAGTGAAACACTGAAATGTGTCTGTGTGAACAGCAGATAAACGATGATAACTTTATTTTCAATCAGCTCTAAAAACTGTGAAGTCAAAACAGTTTTTTGTAAGTAATTATTGTTTATATCTGTTTGTTTTGATTAACAGGGAAAAAGTTCGTCAGGAGGTTTGTGCTTTAATCTTTCTGGTGTTTTGAGTTCACAAGGTGGCGCTGCAGGTTTTAGTCTGAAGACAAGCTGGGCATGAAGGCTGATATTGGACGTTCATCATTTATTGGATCTAAAACTGTTAAACATGAATGTGTCTTTAGATCATGGTGTCTGGACTTTTCTGTGTCCTGATATCAATATGATCTGAATGTCTCATATGCAGCATCCCTCCCAGAGGAAAAATCCCTCGTGGCATGTGAGGGAGCAGTGGCTCGACTCCACTGTGGTAAGGTCACTGGTTTCACTGGTCGGTTCTGGAGCATTACACCATGAATACATTCAGGTTTCCAACATTTCCTCTTGGCTCTGGCAGCAGAAGGTCAGGCTATCTATGTGACCAGTGCTTCATACGGACGCACTAATAAGAAGACGTGCAGCGCTGGGAGACCTGCCGACCAGCTAGAGAACACTGAATGCTACACATACAGAGAGGAAGTTGGTGAGAGGTACAGAGCTTCAGTGTTTCCTGAAGGTTTATCAAACTGGATGTGAATGAATGAATGAGGAGGTCAAAGAAAGGAAAATCACTGACTTTGATCTGAATCCACAGATGCAACGGGAAACAGTGGTGTAAAGTCAGAGCCAGTAACTATGTGTTTGGAAATCCCTGCTATGGGACCTACAAGTACCTGGAGGTGGAATATATTTGTTACGGTGAGTTCAGGCTCTCACTTCACTAAAATCTGTCTACGAACAGGAACAGCTTTAAAAACTTGGTGCAACAAAAACAGCAACTTTATGGATGTTTTCTCTACTCATTTTAATTTTCTGCCTTTTCTACACAAGAAGCCATCAGTAGCAGCTTCATTCATTATTTAGCCTGATTAACAAATGCAGGATATTAAATNGAACCAAACCTTTTGATACCATTTTGGGGGATTTGGGGGGGTTACAAGCAGCAGTACGAGCCACATTAACGGTAATGGCAGAAAAATAAATAAATAGACATTCTGTTAGGTGTAGAACAATCGGTGCCTTCCATGCTTTACATGGAGGCATTGAAATGCCTTGCTTTGCAATGCTTCTCTTATGTAATGCTATGGCAGGCCCCAAATATCAGGACTTGGAGTTTGGTTGCCATGGCGATCCTGTGGAGCAGGTTTTGTCCAAACTCTGTAGTCTGGTTAAAACTTTTCCCTCATCAGCTTTAATGTTCCAGTCCAGCTCAGTAACACAGTCAGTAGCACTAATGCCTTGCAGCAACAAGGTCCTGGGTTTGAATCCTAGCCTGGGTCTTTCTGCATTTATTTAGAAAGAATGCATTTTATTTTTTAACCAAAGTCAGAAAACCAGCCTTGACTCTCCAGAGGCCTTGTTGCAGGTTTAGAGCTGGTGATATTTTGCTTTCTGATGTCTAAAATGCATTCTGCTGAAATGATATTAATATTTTCATGGTTATTGCAGCTGACTGAAGCCACCATCAGATCTGCTGTGTGAGGATGAAATGCATCATAATCATCTACAGACGTTGTGATCCACTGATGTGCAGCTTCATCTCTCTTCAGTGTCTTCAGTTTTCTTAGCATTTTATTTGTTTTTCTTCTCAGATCTTCATCCCTTTTGCTTTTATTCCTATTTTCCTCAATAAACTTGACTTGCATTGACATTTTGCTCAGTTTGCCTTTGTTCGCTACAAACAACCTGATGGGGATGAAAACTGCTTCTACTCTGAACAGGAAGGAACTTGTGCAGGAAGTTGGTTAAATGTCTGTCAACATTTGATATAAATATCAACCAAATTTTCATATTAGTGAAGCCATAATGCATTCCTCATGTTGTGGAGATTTATCCGTTCTCCATGCTGAGTTGTTGTTTTATGAGGTCGAGTCCGTGAGTTGAATTCCTGAATTCCACTTATTAATACCAAACTACTGCTGGTCCATTATGACCTGCTACCTTTAAGAGCTAACAGACCAACATGGCAACCCACAAGAGGTAGTGATCTCCTTTGTTAGCCTCTATCTAAGCTACGCCCTAAAGAGGGCGCCCCCTAGTGTAGTGTTTTTCAACCTATTTTGAGCCAAGGTTCACTGTTTTAATTGAAAAAATCTCGAGGGACACCACCAACCAAAATGTAAACAAAGATACTCTGTAGCCGCCTGTATTATATAGTCATTCTTATCAAAGTGTCTTGAATAGGAATCAGATAAACACAAAAATGTATCTTTATCACATTTTACGTTTCTTATTTCAAATTGCACGTAACATGTCCACTTCAAAAATACACCTGAACAGGGCCACAACAATGTGGTCTATCAAAGTGTCTTGAATAGGAATCAAATAAACACAAAAATTTATTTTTATCATATTTTACATTTCTTATTTCAAATTGCACTTAACATGTCCACTTCAAAAATACACCTGAACACCTGAACAGCCACAACACTGTGGTGTGATGCATGAATGTAGCAACATTCATGCATCACTAATTCTCTTGTTTTAATGTAAAATGCTCTGTACCTACTGCCATCTAGTGATAATAAAATTACATGATTACGCCGCTAATCACTACTACAGCAAAGACACTCAAAGATGGCGTTATTTGCAGATAATTAATTTGTTTTCAAAAAATCTTTTAAGACCAATTACCGTATTTTCCAGACTATGAGCGCACCATACTATAAACCGCACCTTCAAACGTTTTGGAAGAAAAATCCACAGAAAAGCCGTATGTTCAAAGTGTAGGAAAGAAGTAGCAGCTTATAATTCAGAAAATACGGTAGGTGAAATTGGATAATTTCCACGGCACACCTGACGATCACCCACGGTACACTAGTGTGCCGCGGCACAGTGGTTGAAAAACACTGCCCTAGTGTGTCCTGTCCTCTACCCATAGCATTTCCTAACATGTCTTTTCCTCTAGCTTTAGCTTAGCAACTAACTAAGAGATAAAAGGAAAAAACAGAATTATTTATTCTCAACAGTCCCTCTGTTGGGATGAATGAATATCATCCCACAACAATCATTAAATATGTCCATATGTATTCTAAAGTATCTAGCCGTCCGCTCCTTCCAGCTGTCACCAGGAATCTTGTCCTCCCCCACACATCAGTACATCTCCAGTAATGCCTCGCAGGATCTTGGTGTTGCCACAAGTCCTGCATGCTGCAATGCTTCACTGCAGCAGCTGGAAGTGAGCCAGGACAGCCAGAGACGGCAGCATGATCAGCAGAAAACACAGGATCTCCAGGCTGGTGCAGATGTTGGAGATGTCAGCCTGGGCGGCTCCTCATCATCAGCAGCTTTGTTCCAGTTTGTTCCAGATTTGTGGTGCATAGAAGCTGAATGCTGCTTCTCCATGATTTGTAGAAGATCCGAGAGGTGTGGGACAGGAGATCTATAAGGCGTTCAGTGGTTTATGAACTTTGTGGTTTATATTTTAAAGTTTATTCTCTCAGTGGAGGAACATTAGACCTGAAGCAGGCACGTGCAACATCACAATACAACTAAATATTGGGATGATGATGATATTGATTACAATTAATCCTAAACTGACCTTCCTGTTCCCTTTTTTCCCATCATCAGCATTTCCACAACACTGTCCATGAGCATTCGGGTTCATGCACCGGCCCAAAACCCTGCCAAGACCACAGTACCCCAGACCCCCCGGACCCCCAGTCCAGGGGCCACACACCCCAGGAACCTGAGCCCCCAGGCCCACCAGGAGCCCACGGCACTGGGCTGGTAACCTGTGTACAGATCACCTCCATGCAGCCACCAGTAGCCACCAAAGGCCCCAACAGATTACAATACAAACCTGGGTCTGAAGGACACCTGGCCTGTGGATCCAAAAAAAAAAAAAAGAAAAAACACGTAGAATAAGAACAGAAATTTTGACAGAAGTAAAAGATTTTACTTACATTTACTTCAAATACAAATCCACAAAAGAGCAAAGTAAAAAGAAGGGCAGATTTCATCTGTATGAAGACAGGAAACATTCATTTACTGCTTTCTTCTAACAGTCTGAAATATAACCCAAAATATGAGATCATTTTCTGAGACCTTTTTAAAACCTGCTGAACAAATGACCCATTTGTAATAAGAACTCAATGGAATTAAAGAATTAAAGAACTGGAAAAGCATGAACATACCTGAAACATGACTTTTCACAATATGAAATTCAAATCTTATTATTCAAAACCATTTTACATGAATATAATTACAAGAGGCCGTTTTCTGGTTTTGTGGAGTGAAATCTGACCTTGTTGAATCGAAGCAGCAGCAGAGCTCACAGCACACAGTGCCTTCAGCCAGACAATGGAGGGTTTATATAGACAGCTGAGCCTGACCATCACTGATGAGCTGTCAGAGGAAACCTCTGCTACGTGGCCATCCCTGCAACATTTCAACCTGCTGACGTTTTCTGACCAGAAGTCAGGGTTGGTAATGAGTGCAGCAGGAACGGTCACCTGAAGCCATTTTCTGTCATTCAGGTCAAGTCGGGTTTCATGATGTAAAGTGTTTTATGCTTTTACCAAAGCATAAAACATCATAAACACGTCATAAAGTCAACAGCTGTGAAAAGCAGAAACAGACATTAGATTTTGATCAAAATCATCGATACACATTAAAATGTTGATCAGTGCTGCATTTATGATCCTAAGCAGAAAACTCCTAGAAAAACACCATCATGTGCAAATTCTTGTTCAATAAATCTATTCTTGTGTCCTGAGAAGATCTTCCCCATGGATCCGAAATATAGCTAAAACTATAACAGATACCAATTATTGTTGGTAAGATTTCTGTTGTGCATGCCACTGAAAGTGTGTTCTTTAAGCACAAATAATAAAGATGGACCTTTTGAGGAACATCCAGGGGTAATATTTCATTTTCACTACAGATTTAGATACCATGACCTGTTTTTCTTCAGCAGTCTTCGTGATAAGTAATTTCCTAAAGTAGAGGAAGAGCAGCAACATTAAAAAGAAAGAAAAAGTCAACTCAGACCAAAAGATTTTCTCTACAAGGCACATGAAAAGTTAAGTAAAGATCACATTTGAATTATGTTACAAAATGTAATAAAATGTCTCAAAATAATAATTTGGCTCTTTAAAAACACCAAATGTTTAAAAATATCCAAAAGAGTACCCCATGTTTTTTTTCTTCAGTGGCATCCAACCGACTTTTCCAAAGGAGTACTTTAAGTCTGATAACATTTTTCCCTTCAGGAGACAGATAAAGGTTAAGTGAGGTATAATAATCAGACAGAAGAAGAAAACCTTGACCTCTGCGTGACCTTGATAGTGTTCTGCACTTTTTAAAAGAGTTTTTCTTTGACTAATGAACTCAGTGAGGGAAAGACTTTCAACAATGCAAAGATATTTACACATTCCTCCGTCACTAAAACAAGCAAGATCTTGATGTGTTGTATTCAATAAAAATAACGCTGAAGTCTTTCTTGACTATTTAGAAACAACATTTAAATATCTAGAGTAGTTTATCCTGTGGTTATTCCTGTAATTCTTAAATGTGTAACAGGTCTCTCTCGAATTAAGAAACGGCCTCTTGATTTAAATGATCTAGCAAATTTCAGGTCTGCCACCAACCTTGTTTCTGTGTTTGCAATGCATTTCACCATTTTCACCTTTCGGAAAGCCAGTTATTGCTGCGGTGAAGTGAGAGTTAGAGATTTAATCAAAGGTTTAAAAGCTTTAGCTGGGCTCTTCCAGTTGGGCTACCTTAAGAAAATATACCAAGGAAGGAATTAAGGAAGTATTTATCAGTCTGTGTATCAGTTTCTGAATTTTAATTTTTTGTCATGTGGAAATTCTTTTGTAACAGATGTGTGATAAACATCTACAGAGCAGGAACATGAAAGGTTTCACATTTCCTGCTACTGGAATGTAACCAGACCAGATCAGTCAAACTTTAAAATGCAAAAAGAAGAAACAGGAACTAGACAAAACAAAGAGAAAGTTTATTAGCAGAACTTTAAGTTTTCATAAAACTTCCCACAGTTGAATTAAGCTGAGTTGCACTGCAGATGTTTGATTTATGTTTTCATTACAAAATGTTTGAGAGCAAAAGAATAATTAAATCACGTTTGTGTTAATTTATGCTTTTGTTGCTTATTTCAAAATGTTAAACATGAAAAATCCACCAAAAATCAATCATTATGGAAGGAAATCCATTAATAACTGAGCAGAGATGAAAAAATTGTTCAGCAGATTGTTGGAGGCTTCAGGGATTCTTGGCACAAATAAATGGTCTTCGATAGTAGCAATAATAGTCGTTCCACTGGTTCACTGGTGGAGAAGAAAAAAACACGGTAACACTATATTTGAAGGGGATTGAATAAGAC